CAGCTGCCAGCAGAAGCAGCAGCAGCAGCAGCAGCAGCAGTAGTGAGAGCGGGTATTCCAAAACAAAGGTAACTTATGCTTGTCACTAGAACGAATGGTGGTGAGGATGATGATGATAAAGTCAGAGTGAGGGTATGTCTACACTACCCCGCTAGTTCGAACTAGCGGGGTAATGTATGCATACCGAACTTGCTAATGAAGCCCGTGATTTGAATTTCCCGGGCTTCATTAGCATAAAGCCGGCGCCGCCATTTTTAAAAGCCAGCTAGTGCGAACCCCGTGCCGTCGAACTACGTAGCCATTCCGAACTATCTGTACGCCTCGTGGAACGCCTCGTGGAACGAGGCGTACAGATAGTTCGGAATGGCTACGTAGTTCGAACTATCTAGCCTGTGCCGCGTGTAGCCGCGCAGCACGGGGTTCGCACTAGCCGGCTTTTAAAAATGGTGGCGCCGGCTTTATGCTAATGAAGCCCGGGAAATTCAAATCCCGGGCTTCATTAGCAAGTTCGGTATGCATACATTACCCCGCTAGTTCGAACTAGCGGGGTAGTGTAGACATACCCTGAGTTATAGTTCGAACTATCTAGCCTGTGCCGCGTGTAGCCGCGCAGCACGGGGTTCGCACTAGCCGGCTTTTAAAAATGGTGGCGCCGGCTTTATGCTAATGAAGCCCGGGAAATTCAAATCCCGGGCTTCATTAGCAAGTTCGGTATGCATACATTACCCCGCTAGTTCGAACTAGCGGGGTAGTGTAGACATACCCTGAGTTATGTTTCTGATAGCAGATGGCTTTGCATTGCATATCAGGAAATTATGAATTAATGCAATGGAAAACACTGGGACAATATTGTGAAATACACACAGAGGACCCCAACTCCACCAGGGAACCACCTATCTCAGGTGATCCCTTTAAAGTGTCTCCGGGGTTTCCACCGCTTTGTCTGACGTATTGTTAGGAGCCACCAGAACTAGACAACCAATTTTTGCTGGTTTATTGGTCTCTCTCAACTGATTTTGCTGTTGCATGTTTTAGTCTTACTTCTCTGGTGGAATTTCCAAGGGTTGCTTATTTAGGAACATTAACATTTCTATTTAAACATTTCAAGATTTATACTGTGGGGGAGTGTTATTTTTTAGTCTGAAATCCTTCCTTCCAGTGCTGCCCATTTCCAGGACTATAATTGCTACTAGTACAGAAAGCAAATTCTTCTGTATAAAGCCTTTCAACTTCCTACTTTTCTCATTTTCAAAGGGTACTCCAGAGATCTATCAGTATAGCTTCAAGTCAGCACACAGACAGGAGGTAAGTTTTTTCACTCATTGCATCTAACCTGACATGGGTAGAACACAATCCTGAAAGAACACACATCAGAATTATTACCTTTAAAATAAGTGGTGTTACAGTTGTTGTAATGTGTCCAGCTTCTAAATATGCCCCAGTGCTTTGCAGAAATATAAAAAGACAAAAGACTAGATTTTCCACTGCACTGCAGCTTGTGAAGTTATTTGTACCCATGCAAAGTGGGTACAAAACTCTAGCTAAGCAGAATGTTTACTCAAGGTGCAAGTCCAACGAGATTCAGACCCCAAAGCTAGATCAATACAGGACTTTGGTTTCTAAAGGTAGCACTAACATTACAATTCAGCGCTCATGACTGGCTCAGGCCAACTAACTTGGGCTTGAGGGGATGGGGTTACAAGGCAGTTGAAGAACAGTGTAGATGTTTGGGCTGAAGCCCAGATTCTGGGAATCCGTGAGAAGGGCCCCAGAGGTCAAGCTGCAGCTGGAGCTTAAACATCATGTAAACATCTCTGTAGCCCCAGCCCTGTGGGCTGGAGTCAACCCATCTGGGCCAGCCATAGGTGCTGAACTGTAGAATAGACCTATCTTAACTGTCATTTCAGGTGCCTAAGTGCAACGTTTAGCAGCACTAAAATCCCCAAACACTCCACTCAGCTGCTGCCTTGCCCTGTAGGTGCCTGAAATTCCACCTGTGGGGCACGCACAAACCTGCCTAAATCTGACATTGCTGAGCTGCTTGGTGCCTTAGCTCATGCCTTTACGATCCAGCAAGATTATCCATCTATCTCCCCAGCAGGGCCTGAAAAGTGTGCTCTGCATTCCTCCCCAACCAAAGCCAGCCAGGGTACCACAAAGGGGAGGAGGAGCAAGAGCATCCGTGTCCCACAGAACACCCAACAGCCAGTACTTAGGGCATTGCCATAGGCCGTGGGAGACATATTTCAAATCCCTGCTCCCCCTGACCTGGAGCAGAAACTTGAACGTAAGTCTCCCAACTCCCAGGAGTGTGTCCTTACCATCAGGATATTAGATATGTGGTTAGGGCCCACTCGGGTCTTTGGGAGACCCATGCTGAGGTCACTGCTTCCAGGGGTTCATTGAACTGTTTATGCAAAATGGAACAGCTCTGACAGGAGAGATCAAAAGAGCCCAGCCCTGAAATACCCTGAAATGTGGGTCAGAATACCCAGGTGGGATGTAGGAGACACAAATTCAAATCTCTACCCCAAATCAGGCCGAACAGGAATTTGAAAACAGACCTCTCCACCCCCCAGGGAATGCCTGAGCTCCAGGTCTCTAGGCTATAATGGGCTGTTTCAATTTTTTTGTGAGAAGGGGCAGAGCTGGCTTAGATGCTTAGCTCCAGGTGAGAGTTCAAGCTGTAATCCGAAGTGAGTTAAGCACCTACCTAACTTTGAGGTAGCCACTTGCCTATCTTCAGACATGCCCTTCCTGGCATTTCGACTTTAGATTGCTCACCACTCAGCTGGCTGGTGCTTGTGAATTACTTTCTGAAGGAACCTAATTCTCCCCATGCCTTTTACAGGAGCCTGGATGCCTAACTCAGGCTTAAGGATTCCACTAGGTGACAGGGTGCCTAAAAGTTGTTGCCACATTCACCAGCCCCATGCCTAAGTCCCTTTGTGAGCCTCATAATTAAATAATTTGCCACGTTCTGATAATTTGACATTGTGGTAGACTACATCATCTTGTGTTGCTCTCAGTCACTGGACAATGCTTATGAAGGGCCCGATCCAAAGAGGATTCAATGCCAGCAATTTTAATTGCAATTAGTGTTTTGTGGAAAGTAAAGTGATCAGCAGGGAAGTAAGATGAAAAATGGTGGTTCATCCGTTCATGGGATCAGTTCCTAAATTCTTAAGAGCAGTAGAGTGAATCAGTGCTACTCTTTTATAGCAAGCCAAAGCTTTGCTCTGCTGTAGTGGTTTGGTATTGTTTTGTACACAGCCATTGGGAGAACTTGTAAATCAGAAGTGCCATCTGAATGCACTGTCCCTGTGTAAATCATCTCAAGTATAGCGCAAAAGTGAACCTGACTTATGGCTTGATCTTGACAAGCCTTATCCATACAAGTAATTTTTACTCATGTACGTAACCCTATTAAAGCCAGTGGATCCACTCTGCTGTGTAAGAATTACTTAGGCATGATCAACAATTTGTAGGATTAGCCCCAAAGTTATTAAAAAGCAATACGATAAAGTCTTTCTCAATCATTCGGCTGCTCAAAGACTATTGACAATAATCTGACCATTAGAACATGAGTTAGCAGAACACTGTCTGTGCTAAAATATTTTGATTGGTCATTTAGAACAACTATCTATGAACTACCTGGTTAACTTGCTCTACTAAGGATATATTTTTGTTGTTATTGCAGTATCCCAAAAAGAAAATCCCAGGCAGCAAAAGCAGCAGCAGCAGCAGCAGCAGCTCCTCCCCCTCCCCCGCCCCCTCCTCCTCCTCCTCGTCCTCATCCTCGTCCCCATCCTTGTCCTCGTCCTCCAGCTCCAGTTCTAGTTCCAGTAGCAGTGAAGCCACCAGCAGAGCAGGTTCCCAGGTCAGTTTCTTAATCTTCAAGAAATGCTGCATGCAGTGTGTTGGCATGGCAGCATTGCCATGGATTTGCAGTTATTGTCCACCTCATGGGAAAAGAGAAGTAGGTAACATATTAAACCACCTGGGGCCAGGCTGTGCTGACTCTTGTTTGCAAACACGGGAGAAAGATGTCTATACAAGAAATCTCCCCTCCCTTACCTATGTTACACAGCTATGCAAGAGCTGCCAGCAGAAGCAGCCTCAAGCTTCCAACACTCTGAATCACAGGTATGCTTACTCCTATTTCACCTGGGGAGTAAGACCAATCATGGAGTAGGATTCCACTAGGTGCTGTACAAATGTAGAACAAAAAGTGGTTCCTGCCCCAAGGAGCATACAGTATAAGACAAAAGCTAACAAGTGGGCCACAAAAAAACAGCTTGTCTTCAAAGCTTAGTGCTGAATATTAACAACACACAGCATACCTAAAACATGTTGATTTAATGAATTCTGGTATTAGACACTTTTTTTTTATTTCCAGAAAAATATACTGGTTTTAATTATTGGGGCTAAATCCCACAGCTTTTCCTCAATGTTCACTTTGTGAAAACTCCCATTGTTATCAGCTGGAGTTTTGGCTGAATGAGCATTGAAAGTTTGGATCCGTTACATTTTTATTTATTGTATAATATATGATTTATATCTGTAATATGTAAAATCATTATCCATTTATACTATCTGTATCACAATTGAAAGCTAAGATAATATAGTAATTTCTTTATAACAATGTTCTGAGGTATTTTTTCCCTCTCTTGCCTTTAGCCTAAATTTTTGGGAGACAGTACATCACCAACTCTGGCTGTTATTCTTCGTGCTCTTCGAAATAATAAAAATCTGGCAGGCTTCCAGCTTGTGCTATATACAGATTTATACTCCACCAAACCCAGGATACAGGCATTTGTGTCCAACATCACAGGATCGAGCAAGTGGAAAATCTGTGCAGATGCTTCAATTGTTAATGCTCACAAGGCAGCGGTAAGGCTCAAAATAACACTGCTCATCTCTAAACATGACACCGCAATCTCAAGAATGTTTTACTTTGTAAAAAATGGAATGTTTTTGTCTCCATTGTAGACTTATCTGAAATGGGGCCGGGATTGCCAGGACTACAAGATTGCTACAGAGGTTGTAACTGGCCGGTTTGCTGATCACCCAGCCATCCAGGTGAAACTGGAGTGGCCTAAAGTTCCTTCAAGATTCAAATCATCTCTCAACTGGTGAGGTTTGGCTCTTTCATTTCAGCCATTTATTTTATAGTCTACCAGTCAAGCTGGAAAATCCATATTCAGCAGTGAGCTTCCAGTGATTAACTGCCAGTCTTTGGTCTTCATTTTCTCATTCCTGATTTGGTTGCATTTGGAAACACATCAAATGACCCCTAAGGAATATAAGATAACCATCTACATACAAGTCTACCATACTGCAGAAGTGGAAAATAATCCCCTGATACCACACACAAGTTGCTGAAAACTTATGGTCAGGTTCTCTATATCACAAAGCTCTTGTTCAGTAAAGAAGGAAGTGAGGATGGGGCCCTGCCAGGGATCCATTATGACTCACTATTTCTCAAAATGAAGCTGTGTTAGTCTGGGGACTGCTCCAGTTTATGCAAGTTGCTGTGTATGCTGCCTCTGTGTCACATAATATATATGAGTGTCTCTCCACTCCTGAGGAGTTTTCAGCTGTTGTCCACATCATCTGCTCTCATCCACAACAAAGGGGATAGTCCTTAATATCTCCTCTAGTTTATGGTCAGACGGAAAATGCCACAGATATCCAATACTGAGTCTCTGAGGGTATGTCTATACTATGGGATAAGGTTGAATTAAGATACAATTAACTGCATAGCTGAAGTCGAAGTACCTTAAGTTGACTTTTGGCACCATCCACACTGCAGGAAGTCAAAGGGAAAACACTCCCTCTTCAACTTCTTTTATTCCTTGTGGAAGCAAGACTACCGACATCAACTGGAGCACCCCTTTCAGTTCAAATTAGCATGTCCTCACTAGACCTGCTAATTTGAACCCTGGAAGATCAACAGCAGCAACTTTGATCTTCTCTGTAGTGTAGACATACCCTGAGAGACCTGAGGAAACTTTACTGTTAAATCATGTTCTTTCTTTTTCAAGGTTTTACTCTTTCGTCCCTGGAATTGCCTATATACTAGGCTACTCTGAAATAGAGCACAAAAATCCTTCTCAGCAAGCCAAGATGATTGTTTCTCTAACTTCTTCACGGACTTTTGATTTTGTTGCCAAATTGCCTGAGGTAAATATACAGCATAATCATCACCATCATATATTTCACCTGATAGAATACTTTGATACTTTTTTTTTCATTAGAGCTGGGTCAACATTCTAAAAAAGTATTTGAAAATATTAGTTCATATAAAAACCATGATACTGCTATTTCTGGCACTTTTACTTTCTTTCTAAGGAGATTAATATGATGATATTTGTTCAGAGAATGTGCCACGAACACATATGTTAATATGTGTTTGTCCAGCCATATTAGAATCTTTCTGAAGTTATCCATTCAGAAAGCAGAAACAATACCACTCGATTTAGGTGGAAGGCCTACCCAGGAGTGAATACTGGTAGTGATGAAGAAGAGTTCATGAGCAGTGAATAAGGCTGAATTATGTTCACATAAACTATTTGTTGATTAATTAAAAAAAATAAGTAGTTTTGTAAAAATCTATGACTTCCTGTGGATAATTCACAAACAGGAAAAGGGGCTAAAATCGACAGATAAATTATTTGCTTTGAGTAGCTTCCTGAACTATATTTTAAGCCTGTTTCTGATTCTTTTTCAGAGAACCATTTTTAGCAGAGCCCTCAGACTTCCGATATCACTGCCTGTAGGGCCACCTGTACCAGAATCAGCTGTCCAGTCTCCGGTCTGGAATTTCTTTTCTGAAGCACCATCTGCAGTCATGGAACATCTTAAAGGTCAGCCATTCACCCTCTTCAGAGACACAAGCTCTACAGCAGGGGTCTCTACCCTTTTTAAGCACAAGATCTTTTTTTTTAATTTAAGTGCAATCCTTGCCCCATCTCCTTTGTGCTCCTTGCCCAGGCCCCACCCCTGCTCACTCCACCCTCCCTTCCTTCCCCATCCTCACTCACTTTCACCAGGCCGAGGCAGAGGGTTAGGGTGCAGGTTCTGGTCTTGGATTAAGGGATTTAGAGTGTAAGAGGGGCTCTGAACTGAGCTTGGGGCAGTCAGCTGGGTTGCAGGAGGGGGTTCTAGGTGCAGACTCTGGGAAGGTGTTTGAATGCATGGGGGTTTAGAGCTGGGGCAGGGGCTTGAGGTGTAGGAGGAGGTTCATGACTTGGGTAGAGGTTCAGGATATGGACTCCACTTGGACACTGCTTACCTCAGGGGGCTCCTGGGTGGTGGTGAAGTGGGGCAAAGGCAGGCTCACTCCACCTTGGCCCTGCACCTCTTCCAAAAGCAGCCAGCAAACTCCCTCCATCCCAAGCCCTGTTGTGCTCCCCTCTGCTCTGTGGAGATAGGATTCAGGATGGGAGAAGGGGCCATCTTGATATCAGTGGCCTCCTCTGCCTCTCCTGCCCTACACAGGCTTCTGGGGGAACTATTCCAAGGCAAAGGGCAGGAGATGTGCAGCAGTGGGAAGAGGAGCTGCTGAAGTTCTGGCTCTTGATAGTCACTGGGCCAAACCAATTTGGTTCACCTGTCAGAGGCTCCAAGATCTACCAGTAGATTACTGGTTGGTGGCCACTGCTCTATAGGCTCTATTACTTTTTTAGCAGTGTCTGAGAATACATGGATTGTTTTTCTCTTATTAAAAAATAAATAGTATTTTAATGGTTTTTTTCATGATGATAAATCATTTCCAACTGTAAAGAACATAAAGAACATAGTTTGGGGCTCTTTTGCATAAGAGCCCCAAAGTATTTATATCCAGACTGGAAATTAGAGATATTATTAAACTTTCTAAAAAATTCCTCATATTAGTGCATATACTGTTGTTGTTTCACATTCAGTCCGTCTGCAAGAGTCAGGATAAAATTACACAGGAATTTATGACTTCATTTTAATCTGTTTGTTGCTGAAATATGAGGAATATGTCTTTTATACCATGCTTAGAGATTATGGGCACTGAGGGCATGTCTAAACTACATCCCTCTTTCGAAAGAGAGATGTAAATTAGGCAGATTGAAAGTGCAAATGAAGTGGGGATTTAAATATCCCATGCTTCATTTGCCTAATTGTGTCACAGTAGTCTTTGGAAAAAGGGTATTTTGAAAGTGAAACCGCCATCTAGACGCGGTTCTTTTGGGGAAAAAAAACCCTTTTTCAAAAGATCCTGTACGCCTCAAAAGTACAGGATTTTTTGAAAGTTTTTTTTTCTTCGAAAGAACCGTGTCTAGACAGCAATTTCCCTTTTGAAATGCCCTTTTTTGAAAGACCGCTGTGACGCGATTATACAAATGAAGCGCGGGATATTTAAATCCCTGATTCATTTGCACTTTTGATCTGCCTAATTTACATCCCTCTTTCGAAAGAGGGATGTAGTTTAGACATACCCTGAGTAGCGTAAAGTCCATGTACTCCTGTAGAAAATATATCATCTATTGTCTCTCTGATATGTAGAGCCAAAATAAAATAAGACGTTTAAATAAATATCTTGTATGAAAAGGAAAATATTCACCAGTTTCTGTGGCATATTTTTTTTACCAGCTCGTTGCACAGTTTCCCAAGACAAGATCACAACCTTCAATGAGGTGAAGTTTAATTACTCGATGCCCACAAACTGCTATCACATCTTGGCCCAGGACTGTAGCCCAGAACTGAAGTTCCTGGTAATGATGAAGAATGCGGAAGAATCTGCTGACCTTAAAGCAATCAATGTCAAACTTGGCCATCAGTAAGTAATTCTAAAACTCATTACAATCATCCAATCCTGAAGGCTACGTCTACACTGGCATGATTTTCCAGAAATGCTTTTAAAAGTTTTCCGTTAAAAGCATTTTTGGAAAAGCGCATCTAGATCGGCAGGACGCTTTTCCGGAAAAGCACTTTTTTCGCAATCGGGGCTTTTTTTGCGGAAAACAGTACTGTGCTGTCTACACTGGCCCTTTTGCGCAAAAGTCTTTCGAAAAAAGACTTTTGCCCGAACGGGAGCAGCATAGTTTTTCTGGAAAAGCACTGATGATTTTACAGTAGATCGTCAGTGCTTTTCCGGAAATTCAAACGGCCAGTGTAGACAGCTGGCAAGTTTTTCCGGAAAAGTGGCTGATTTTCTGGAAAAACTTGCCAGTCTAGACACAGCCGAAGTGACAAAGGTGGGAAGAAGGATGGCAACCTCCCTGCACAGACAAATAAAACACTCTTCACTTCGGCTGTCACCGGGGAATCCAGAAGCAGCCACAGATGTACTGGATTGCAGAAGATGAGCACTCCCCACAACACCTTCCTCTGAAGGAACAAATGTTATCTCTATCACATACTCTGTAACGTCTGTGTCCCACATCCATTTCATCTAGACTGTGATTTGTTTTCAACCAACTCCTCTTCTGGCGTGATACTGGAAATGTAAATGTATCACGCTATCCAGATGAGATGATAATGCAGAAGAGATTTCCATCTATATGTTACAGTGGTGGTATAACACCCAGAGTTGTATCAGTGTTTCTCTTTATTACCTTACATATGCCTTGAATGAGATAGATGGCAAAACAGAATATGATGTTACCCCCCTCAAAAGGTGGGATAAGCATCTGTGTTGTGCATTGATGATAAATATGATGGTGAAACAAGATAATGCTAAAATCAGTGATATTTAGTGAAAGATGGTGTAGTCTGGACATAGTATGTTCATGAATACAGTCAGAATAGAATATAAATTCATTTCTTTCTCTTTTTCAAAGTGAAATTGACATGTATCCTGAAAATGGACTTCTTAGCCTCATGGTCAATGGTGTTGAAACCCCAGTGGAGAATATCACGTATAGTTTAGACTCTGGTAGGTGTTCATTTTAGTCTTTTTTCATTAATATTATTAGGAGAGAAATATACTCCAGTAAGGGTATTTCAACTTTTTTGCAGTGATATTGCTTAAAATAAATATTTTTGCCTTTGTATTCAGGGTTAACCAGTACTAGTTATGAATAATTGTGTATTTTACATATTTCCAGATCTGCATTATAAAGACAGATTAGAATTGTGAACTTTTGAAAAAGTTAAGCAAAAGACAGTTGAGGTTATTTGGCCCATCACTTCCTTACTAAAATGTGTAGGCACTCAGGAGGGTATTAGGTTAGCCCAAATATCTTGGGGTATGTCTATACTAGCCCCCTAGTTCGAACTAGGGAGGCTAATGTAGTCATTCAAAGTTGCAAATGAAGCCCAGGATTTAAATATCCCGGGCTTTATTTGCACCTTCCTGTCCGGGCGCCATTTTTAAATCCCCTCAGTACGAACTAACTACCCGTGGCTACATGCGGCAGTCAAACATTAACTCGAACTAAGTCCTTAGTTCGAGTTAACTGTTACACCTCATTCCACGAGAACTAAGGACTTAGTTCAAGTTAACGTTTGACTGCCGCGTGTAGCCGCGGGCAGTTAGTTCGGACTAAGGAGATTTAAAAATGGCGTCTGGACGGGAAGATGCAAATAAAGCCTGGGATATTTAAATCCCGGGCTTCATTTGCAACTTTGAATGACTACATTAGCCTCCCTAGTTGCATACCCTCGATCATTTATATAAAACTTTTCCAAATACAGCTTTTCTTATAGTTGCCATATCAGTATGGTGGAACTTTTTGCTGACTTAAGTTATATGTGACATTTTGGGATTTATATCGATGTAAAAACACCATAGAAATATTTTTAAAAACAGAACACTAAAAACATTATGGAGAACTGTAGGGATAAAAACAACAAGTAATCCTGTGGCACCTCAGAGACTAACCAAAATATATATAGTATCTTGAGCTTTTGTGGTGAAAACTCACTTCATCAGATGAGTTGGAGTGGAAATAACAGAACGTAAGAATAAAGTCAGTCAACAGGCAGAGCCTGCACCATTCTGTTAATGCATACACATTTTGTTCTATGAATAGACACATTAAGACTTTGTTTACAATCAAGGGAGTTGGAGTCAATCTAGTTGTCCCCCAACTTGATTATAACAACACAATTAAAAGTTGTAGGATATAGATGGAGCCATACCTCTCCAAAACTGGATAAACACTTTGGGAGTCCAGGATTTTATCCTATTTTCATTGACTTGGATATTGGTAACTGTGTTATAAATGAATCAAGTGACTACCCAAGTTGCAGTCAGGTTTCCTAACTCTATTAGAGTGTAGACAGGGCCTGAATTATCTACAAAAATTTAATACCAGTATTGGAGGATTCCATTATTATTCCTTGAAATAAATAGGTAGCTGTTAATATTTACAAAGGAAAATGAACACAAAAGTGATTATTAAGGATTTAGAGTTAAAATTGTGTTTCCTACTTTCTGCCGACAACTACATTCCATAGTTGTAATGTTTAAGGAAATTAATTAGTTAATATACAATTTGCTTTGTTTCTTCAACAATAACAAAATGCTTAAAGAAAAACAAGGCTTTGGTTATATTTTTACAGAATTATTATCAAAAATATAAAAGATCATTTATATTTTTATTGCAGATGCTTCTCTGGTGATCAACAGTGAGAAGAAAGGTCTATCACTTTTGGCTCCTGACTATGGCATTGATAAACTATATTTTGATGGACGTTCATTGAAGGTATTTTTCTCTCCTCTGCTAGCATTTTCATTTTCATAAAATTCCAAAGAAATCCACACAATTCCATATTTAGGAAGGAGAATCACTACTAATCAGTTTACCCCCATTATTATACCCCATTTACTGGTAAAGGACTGAGTTCCACACTCAGATTTTAGTATCTATTTAAATGCCTTTTAATTAAAGTAGATGAAATTTTGAATGAGTACAAGGATCTTCATTAGCAAAGCCAACATAAAGATCGGTGTAAAAGAGTTTACAGAAGGAACAGCCTCCAGCCAGTCATCATAATATTCTGCTCTTACATAGAACCATTCATCTAAGGATCTCAAAATGCTTCACATACATTGAGATTTATTGGCACATAAGCTTTTGTGGGTAAAGACCCACTTTGTTATAATCTGATGAAGTGGGTCTTTGCCCATGAAAGCTTATGCTCCAATGAATCTGTTAGTCTATAAGGTGCCACAGGACTCCTCGTTGCTTTTGCAGATTAAAACTAACACGGCTACCCCTCTGATACACATACATTGAGGAATTAAACCTCAGAACATGCCTGTCTGTTAGGTAAACTTAAACATGAGGTTTTTGAATGACTTGCTTAGGACACATTGAGTCAGTAACATAATTGCAAAGAGACTCTGAAATTCTGAATTCCTGTTCCCTGTTCTTATCGTTACACATCTCTTCAACCAGTCAAAACAAAGACTTTAAAAAAAACCCGGTAATAGTAGAATGGTCTACTAGGAATGTTGCTCAATTAATGGTGTGTATAGCAAGTGCTAATTGATCTATAACCATCTAACATCCATCTCACAAAGTGTTGACATCTTCAGTATCAATAGATGATTGATACAGGACACAGGATTTCCAAAAGGCCCTAACGGACCTAAGCACTCAAATAACCCTCATTCAGGCCCCTTTGAAAATCTCAGCCAGAGGTATTGTTACGGAAATCAAAGCTCAGAATCAAATGTTGTTCTTTAAAAACAAATGTCTTAGCTTTACCTTGATTTTTATTTTCCTCTGCAGGAGGCCATTCTGTAACAAAATTCTGTTTCATTGGCATTATTCTTAAATATACAGTTGAATTAACTTTTACTTTATTTTCACAAAGGTTCAAGTTGCATTCTGGATGGCAGGGAAAACATGTGGCATTTGTGGAAAATACGATGCTGAAAAAGAACAAGAATTTCAGATGCCTAGTGGATCTGTAGCTAAAGATGCAGTGAGCTTTGCACAGTCTTGGATTCTGTCAGAAAAGCCCTGTGCTGGAGGTATGAAGACTTTTACTATCTATAATGTATAATAGCTGCAGATGGTGGGAAAACTGACTAATATTTATTAGTCAGGGTTATTGCTTTACATATGATCCATATAGAATTTTGGATGGTGACAATTCATTTGATATATATACACAGTATCACTAGCAAATGGAGAATTTGGAGGAAAATCTAAAGCCATTTATACAAGGTTTTGAAATATCAATGATTGTTTTATTGCAGCCTGTAAACTGCAGCGTTCACTTGTGAAACTTGAGAGAACAATTCAGCTTGAGGGCCAAGAGTCAAAATGCTATTCTGTTGAGCCTGTGATGCGCTGTATAAAAGGATGTTCAGCAACTGAAACCACCCCAGTTTCTGTTGGCTTCCATTGTCTGCCGGCTGGTAAGTGAACACAAAATCCTATTATAAAAGTTATCCAAATATTTTCTTCTTTAGGCTTTGATTCAGCCAGGTGCTTAAATTCAAGCAGGAGATTAAGCATGTGATTTCACTAAGACTACTCACATGCATAAGTTTTCGGCATGTGCTCAAGGAACTCCCTGAACTGGACTCTTAATTGCTAACATTTGTGGCACTAAATTTAATGCATGCAAAAATGAATATGTTGTCTGTCAACATTTTATGGTGTTTTCCCTGGAAATTACTTTTAAAGTTGGTAGCTAAATGGAGGTCCTATATTATCTGTTGTTAATTCATCACTGTCTATGGTCCCAATGTTGCTTCCAATGAAATCAGTGGCATTTTGTCAATACTGTAACTTAGTGAGGTTAGGACCAGATTCCAAGAGTAACTGAGATTTCACGACTATTGTGATTTATGATGAATTTTTCTTTCTTTTCAAAGTTTGATATGTAAAAAAACAATAGCTTCAGAGCTAGTATACACAAGTTTTTAATTGCTGTATTTTAAATTAATGATTAGTTGGATCTGTGTTTGTTGTGATGGCTGTTTTCCAAACCAGTTATTCAAATGCAATGTGCATGATAACTAGGAGTACCTAAGTCCAGTCTGTGTAATAATGAATTCTGTGTGACAAATTCCACACCTTGCAAACTATTTTTTTTCATTCTTATCATTTGTCATTTTTCTTCACTCCCAGATTCAGCTGCCAGCTTAGTGGAGGGACAGATGAAACTTGACCAGAAGTCAGAAGATACACGGGAAACAATTGATGCCCATACTGCGTGTTCATGTGAGGAACTACAGTGCATTGAATGAGGCTACAATTCAGCAGATTAGAAATTTGGAGCATTGTTTTTATATTGTGAAACCAGAAAATTCCTCCTAGGCAATCACAGATTTGTTAATTTAAGTGTTCAAAGTCCTACTGAATCTTCTTAGGGAAAACTGATCTTTTAAGAAAATATTAAACTTTATTACTGTAGACAAAATACTGAATATTCATACATATGTGATTTCCTAATAAATCTGTGCATTTAAAAAGAAATGGTGAAGAGTTCCTTATTTCATAGCATATAGAAAGTAAGAGTTCTATTTTGCTTCATGTCACACACGCCTACTTCCCATGTAATGTGAATGTTCAATATAGTAAATAATTATTGGTGTTATTATTTATTATTTATATTACCATAGCCCCAAAGAACCCTAGACATGGACCAGCACTCACTGTGCTAAGTGCTGTACAAACACAGAACAAATCTCCGCCCCAAGCAGCTTACAATTAAGTACAAAACAAAAGACAGCAGATGGATGCAGAGGGACTGGGAGGACAAGAAGTCAGTATGAGGGGTGTGATCTCAACACAATGTCCTAAACATTGACAAGATTTTTTGTAGGTATTGTTGCAAAGGAGAGCTTTGAGGAAAGATTTAAAGATTGAGGTAATTCTGAGGACATTTAAGGGCTGCCCTTGCAGCATGGGAGAAGGTGCAAAGGTGCATGTTTGGGACTTTTAACTACTTAGTATTTAAAACTACATATTGCAATGTGCAAAGAACCTAATTCTGCTCACACACCAGTGATCAAGATCAAGAGTTTTTAATTGCAGGCAGTGGAATTACATCTATGTAAAATTGGTGTTCATTAAAATCAGGCCCAAAACCTCTTGCTTCTTTTGTGTGAAATCCTCGTGTCAATGGGAATTTTGCCATTGACTTTGATGGGGACTGGCCTTTATCTTTTGTGTTTATCCCTATTGGCTAGTAAGTACCCTGCTGAGAAATACTGCCACTTACCCGCTTCATTACTGATACTCTTTTATTTTTTACATGACACTGTTGATGCAAAGCAAAAGACAGTCTGACTGGCATTGGGAGGCTCAGTGAATATTTACAATGCACTTTGAAATTAAAACATTCCATATAAGGGCTAAATATTATAACTACTTGTAATGATCACTTACAGAGCATCTTCTATCCAAGAATTTCAAACCTTAATCAATTAACCTCATAGCACTTCTGTGAGATAGGTATAATCAGTATTAGTATACTCAAAATGCAGACAGGGAAACAGAGGTATCAAATAGTTAAATTACTTACCTATGGTCACAAGGTGAGCTAGTATCAGCTCTGGCATTCAAATCTAGATGCACTGACTTCAAGTCCTGTGATCCTATCCCATCAGATCATGGTGTCTCATATTTCATAATAATGATGATTATTTTATTAATCATTGTGGGAGATTTGTTCAGGTTAGAGTTACCATCAGCATGAACGAGTTCCTTCTCTGTGAAGCTGATACATTCAGCATCTGTGACTGTGAGTGAGGTTCTATTGTTGGAAAAAATGGCACCTTGAACCAAAAACTAGTGCTTTGGGCGAATTAGATGTTAATGTTAATTAAATTTTAAATTTCTTTATGATTATCTTGTGTTCCAAATAGTGCGATGCGCACAGCTGCTTTAGTAACACCTGGAACTCTCCTACTATCATCCACATTAACTACTCTGCACGCAGTGGGGTAGCTATTTTGTGGAAGGTAGATTATTTGGAAATCAACTCATTTTCATTATGACCTTTGCTTTCTGACCAATGTAGTATTAGGGAAGTTGTGTCACAGCAGATATGGTCTGGCATGACTTTTAGCCCTGGGACTAGCTTAATGCCAAAGATACAAACACACTGCACTCAGGAGCTGTGATGGATGATACAGCTTTCACAGCAACCCCGTGGTGCACTATTTTAACACAACTCACCAGAAGACAGCGCCTGAACTCCAAGGGATATTCCCATAAGGTGTTGCCTGACTTTCACTCTAACCAGTGATGGTCAGTCTTTGGTTGTAGATGTCTGCCCTTTTCTCTTGCTCTTTCTGCAGCAAAGCTTGTTCCCTCACACACCCTGTCATTGTCAGGAGGTGGCTCAGCAAGGGCTAGATGCCAAGCCCTGCGCGGCTTTACTTACATTCACAACATGCATACAGATTTGTAACAGAAGCACAATACAGGACTATGTAGCACTTCAAAGACTAACAAGATGGTTTATTAGATGATGAGCTTCCGTGGGCCAGACCCACTTCCTCAGATCAAATAGTGGAAGAAAATAGTCACAACCATATATACCAAAGGATACAATTTTAAAAAATGAACACACATGAAAAGGACAAATCAAATTTCAGAACAGAAGGCGGATGGGGGGGGGGAGGTGAATGTCTGTGGGCTAATGACGTTAGAGGTGATAATTGGGGAAGCTATCTTTGTAATGGGTAAGATAACTAGATCCCTTGTTTAGACTCAGATGTAAAGTGTCGAATTTTAGCATGAATGACAGTTCAGAAGATTCCCTTTCAAGTGCAGATTTAAAAGGTCTTTGTAGCAGGATGCAGGTAGTTAAGTCGTTGAGACTGTGTCCTTTTTGGTTGAAATGGCAAGAAACTGTTTTTTCTTTGTGATCCTGTCTAATATCTGTTTTGTGGGCATTGATCCTTTGGCGAAGTGTCTGAGACGTTTGTCCAATGTACATAGCAGACGGACACTTTCGGCACATGATAGCATAAATTATATTTCTGGATGCGCAGGAATATGTGTTCTTGATCTTATAACTCACTTGGTTAGGCCCAATAATTTTGTAACACTATTTCTTAGAATTCAGAATGGTTACACTCTAGAACTCCAAAAACAAGTACAGAGAATTAGAGAGAGAGAGAGAGAGAGAGAGAGAGAGAGAGAATATAGGTTGTTCCCTAAGGCAGTGAGGCACAATTCACCCCTCTAGCTGGCATTTTCCAGACACGCCGGCTGCTGACTGATTCACTCAGACCCACTAAGTTGTAAGCAGAACCAGGAAATCTCTCATGCTTAAATTGATAGCTGGCTGGCAAACCAGTTTCCAGTATACCGTTCTCACTTCTTTGGCTATGTCCACACTACAAACAAAAGTTAGAAAAAATACGCAAATTGCAATTTGCGTATATTTTCCCGCTTTTCTTCCAAAAGAGGCTTTTCCAACATTTGGTCTACATTGGCCCAAATGTGAGAAAAAAACCCGCTTTCAGAACATCCCTTCTTCTTCATAAAATGAGATTTACAGGGATGCCAGAAAAATTATTTATGCAGCTCTAACCCCTCATTAACCATACAATGAAACCCCAGTAGCATTAATACATTCCTTACAACAGGAACTCAGCCAGCCACATACAGAGCCTCCTTTCTGCCCTGTCAGTAATGTGCAAAGTAAGTAAGTCCCATTCAAAAACTTTCTCAGACAGATGTCTCTTGAGGTGTCTCAGGAAAATCATCAAATATGGGCAATTTTGGACTGAAGAGCAAATTCCACACTCCTAGACTAGAGCCTTCCCAGAAAACACTCTGCCTGCTTCTTTTACTTCTGTGTGATTGAAAGCTGCTGAGCTGGATCAACACTTCCCCAAAACATCATATGTTCAGCTCTGTTCTCAGCATGCACCTGGGACCCCAGCTGCAGGACGCATGCCTGGAGGTCTGTTCCTGCCCCTACACCCAGAGTTCTGCATGTGGGATCCTGAACTCCAACCAGCCCTGCACTGGAGGCTCTCCTGCCGGCCTACTAGTTGCCACCGGCCCAGTGTTCAAGACTCAGTTCACAGCCCTGCACCTGGAATCTGTACATGAGGTCCCCGCTTCCACAGGCCTTGCACTGGGACCTCTGCTCCCAGCCACATATGCTGGGTCTCAGCCTGGTCTGCATCCCCCTATTACCAAAGGCACAGCCCCTCTCCTGGCCCCAGATGTGAGGAATGGGGGGCATGGACAGAAGTAAGAAAGGGTGAGGTAAAATTTTTAGGGTGGTAACTGTTGGCTTTCAGCAACCCCACTGTAAAAAATGTTCCAGCACCTCTGAGCTTAGCTATTGAACTTCTGAATGTGCCCAATCGAGGGATACAGTAAGTGCAAGTATCAGAGGGGTAGCCGTGTTAGTCTGAATCTGCAAAAGCGGCGAGGAGTCCTGTGGCACCTTATAGACTAACTGAAGTGTAGGAGCATAAGCTTTCGTGGGCAAAGACCCACTTCGTCAGATGCATGTAGTGGAAATTTCCAGAGGCAGGAATAAATATGCAGGCCAGGATCAGGCTGGAGATGACCAGGTGGATCCAATCAAGGAGGATGAGGCCCACTTCTAGCAGCTGATCTGGAGGTGTGAATTCCAAGAGAATAGAAGCTGCTTTTGTAGTTAGCAAGCCATTCACAGTCTTTGTTTAATCCAGAGTTGATTGTGTCAAACTTAAAGATGAACTGTAGCTCAGCAGTTTCTCTTTGAAGTCTGGTCCTGAAGTTTTTTTGCTGCAGGATGGCTACTTTTAGATCTGCAATTGTGTGTCCAGGAAGATTGAAGTGTTCCCCTACAGGTTTTTGTATGTTGCCATTCCTAATATCAGATTTGTGTCCATTGATTCTTTTACGTAGGGACTGTCCTGTTTGGCCGATGTATATAGCAGTGGGGCATTGTTGGCACATGATGGCATATATTACGTTGGTGGATGTGCAGGAGAATGTACCAGTGACAGTATGGCTGGTCTGGTTAGGTCCTGTGATGGTGTTGCTGGTGTATATATGTGGGCAGAGTTGGCACCGAGGTTTGTTGCAAGGATTGGTTCCTGAGTTCGAGTTATTATGGTGCGGTGTGTAGTTGCTGGTGAGAATATGCTTCAGGTTGGCGGGTTGTCTGTGGGCAAGGACCGGCCTACCTCCCAAGGCCTGTGAGAGCGAGGGATCATTGTCCAGGATGGGTTGTAGATCACTAATGATGCGTTGGAGAGGTTTTAGCTGGGGACTGTAGGTGATGGCCAGTGGTGTTCTGTTGGTTTCTTTCTTGGGCTTGTCCCGTAGCAGGAGGCTTCTGGGTACACGTCTGGCTCTGTCAATCTGTCTCCTCACTTCCTCGTGTGGGTATCGCAGTTTACAGAATGCTTGTTGAAGGTCTTGTAGGTGTAGGTCTCTGTCTGAGGGGTTGGAGCATATGCGGTTGTACCTCAGTGCTTGGCTGTAA